AAATATGGATATTTTTAAAACAAAAAATAGAGAAAAAAGCAATCTAGTAGTTGCAACTACTTTTTAACAAAAACTAAAGGCATCGGCGCCTAGATTTGTTTAAAAACCTAACACTGATAATTTCGGTCTATTTTATTCTTATTTGTTTATTAAGAAAGGGAACAGTCAATATTAAGAAACAAAAAATTAAAGGAAAACATATAAAATGGTTATTTTAAGATAATTAAGAAATATATAACCATTCTAAAGGTTCAATAGCCCGATAAATTAAAACATCTAATCCATATTGGAACCCATTATACCCAATTGTATTATTGTGTGTGCAATTGTGAAAAAATTAAAAATTATTTTTTTATCAAATTAAAAATAAAGATGACCATATTTAGTTAGAAAAAAAAAAATGGCCCCAATTTAATTAAATACTATAAGCATCTTTCATATGTTAAAGTGAATAGCTACCCACTTCAATTTCCCACTAATAATATAAGCACAATTTTCTGTGTGAACCGATCTAATTGTCGGTCAAAATTGATTTATCATACTTTTTATTTTTAACAAAAATACATTTTATATTACGAAATATTATACTTTCGTTTTTAACTATTTTCCAGACGTTTAAGTTCCAAAATATACATATATGTTAAATATGTATGATCGTTTAATCGTTAAATCCGCATAAACATCAAAATTGTCATTGATATGTATACGAGATTGAAGGTAATATTTCCAAGATAATCAAATGAATAAAGGCCAAACTTTTTCCTATGGCTTATGGACAAAAAAGAAGAAGTGCCCACAATCTTTTATTTATTTATTTATTTTTTAACAAAATTGTATGTTGTGAAGTGTTTATGCTAACTTTAGACATAACATGGAGCTAATAACTCGAATTTATTTTTTATTGGTTTTCCTCACTTAAGTACAGTTTCCTCGAGAAAAAAAAAATGGAGAATAAAACTTTCTTAAAAAGATTTTACAAAAGGACACATGCAGGTTTGTTTATAAAAATTTTTGGTTTTGTTTGGATTTTTTGGTTTGGTTTGGTTAATTTTGAAAGAGGTAGTATAGTTAGTTGTTAGTGAGTATATTAAAATAATATTTATAATAAAATAATTAAAATTGATTTGATGTAAAAGTAGGAGAGAGAGATTTGAAGTGATGGTTAGTTAAAATAATGTGAGTAGATGAATAGTGAATTAAGGTTGATGTGGTGTGTATGAATAATTGATTGATATTTTTTAATTATATTGATAATTTTGATGATAATGAGGTTGAGTTAAAGTTGAGTTAAAAAAAGTGGTTGAGTTAAAATGTTGAATTTTTTTTGAAAATTTCTTATAATGTCTACAAGATGAATTGAAAAATAAAATTATATATATATATATATATTTTTAAATATGATTAGCAAATAATCTACTGATTTATTCGTTCTTCTTTTTAACTAAAGGGCCATGTATTGAAATTAGTTTGAACTGGGCTAACATATTGTAAGCCCATTGTTACGTATTAAATATATTGGAGACATTGGGCCCTAGTTTATATTGGCTCGTTATAAAATATTGAAGATGAAAACGAGTGTTAGAATCGCACTTTTGAAAAAGGAAAATCAGCCGACCCTAACAAAACAACACAATCTATATCTATATATATATATAATAAAAATTAACATTTACCATAAATAGTAGTAAGAAAAGTCAAACCACATTTATTATATACTATTTTCAGTAATTTCTTTATTTTACATTTTAATTTTAATTCATTATCAAAAAATTGGATGGTTCCTAAATTAATGGGTTTTAGATGCTTTCAAAAATTATAAAATCATTTAAAATCGAATGGTTCCTAAATTAATGTTTACATACTTTTCAAAGTTAAATTAATGTTTAGAAACTTTTCAAAGTTGTTGTAATCTTTATGCCATCTTTTCTTTTTGACTTTTAATAATAAAATCATTTTAAATATATATATTCTAATCCAAAAATTCAATCATGTTAATATATATATATATATATATATATATATATAGGATTTTGTTCAAATGAGAACTTGAACGCTAAAAATATTCTTTAAATTGCATACTAATCAATTAATCTTGATTTTTTATTAATATGCATAAAAGAAAAATAATTAATTCATCTTCAGATATATAATTTACAATCTTACTATATTATTATTTGGTGTAGACATATGAATCATAAAATTTTTTCATTTCATAAAATTAAATATTATATCTAAAGAAAATAAGAAAATTACTTTGAATTAATCGGGTGATGGAATTAGGGTACTGCCCACGTTGATTGAATTACTTTTAGGTGATATTTAAAATAGTCAAAAAACTTTGAAACAATTTAGTTGGTCCCAGTTATGTATCAGTTTGACCAGACCAAATAGATTATTGAACCTAAATATAAATTTTAATATTGAAAATACTTTATTACGTGAATGTGATGTAGTCCAAACTTTAAATAATCATATTAACAATACTTTTATGACAACATGATTAATGATTAATGAATATTTGTATATCACTTTATTATTATTTATGTGAACAAAATAATTATTTTATTATATTTTTTTTATTAATGTACGGTAAATATAAGGTTTTCAGAACCAGACCGTCATCGAAACGATCAAGTTATTTTATTAAATCATTTGTGGTTGTTCAAATTTTAATACATAATACTTATATATATATATATTTAGTACTTTTTGTAATTAATTTCAATAAAAAGTGTTACTTAAATATCTAAACAATTTATAAATTCAAATGTTTAAATTAATTGATAAACAGTTTATAAATCTCTATTTTATTTAAATATGTAATGTTATTTAAAATTATTTTTAATGTAACAAAATTTGTTTAGAAAATCGTAGATCCTACCAATCCAACAGACTGGTGTTGAAAGATTCGATAGCAAATATTTTATTCAAGCGCACTAGACTGTGTCCAACCCGGTTTAATTTAAAAATAATGGATAAATCATGATTAATATTATTTATTATTCAATTTATAATACAATCAAAATATTGTTTTCCCGTGCATCGCACGGGCCACGCACTAATTTGAAAACAGAACTGAAGATAACATTACCTTTCTCTCTCTCTCAAAATTCGTTTGCTTTCAGTCAAAATCGAACCTCTTTTTGATAAGTTAAGGTACTTTTTTATATATGCATTAAATTAATGTAATATCTTTAAAAAATACATTATATATAAAACATTCTAAATCGGCATCAAGTCAATGACAACATTTCGTGCCAACCAGTCAATTGTTACAGAACTTCAACCGCGAAATAGGTTGTTTTGTTTCATTTCTAGCGACACAAAATTATGTATAAATGTATGGTTTGAAAAATCAAACTTTTTAAACCTTGATAAAAAGATTTTCTGACTTACAAAATTATATTAAATTGAAAGTATGAAAAAAATGACAATGTACTTGTACTTATGCCAAAGGAAAAGCAATTAGTCAATATTTCCCCTTTTTATATGATTCATAACATTCTAATGTTACTAGATTGAAAAAGACTTGACTTTGTGTAATAGACTAATAGTCCTTAATACTTTGAAAGAGCTTTGACTTTGTGTAACATTCTTAGAGCATCTCCAATGTAACTTTTGACATTATAAAAATTTATTTATATCATCAACATTTGAAAGTGTGTTATTAATTTATTCTCCAGTGCATCTTGTCACGAACTCTTTCATGATGAGGTGGATAGCATTTAATATTGACAATGTTGAACTAATTTTCTAATATCTAACACCATGTTAAACATAATGACTAATCGGTTCACTTTATATTTGATTTAATTTTTTATTGTTCTTGTATTAATGATTATTTTAATTGGTCCACCTATGCATATAACTTCTTATCAAATTGATGCATTGGAGATACTAGTTTGATTCAAATTTCTGCTCTTTTAACATTATTCCTACATGGATTAACATTACAATCATTGATTGACATGTGCTAAAAATTATTGTCTTTCAAAACTATAATATTGGAGATGCTCTTAAGGCTCATAATTATTTTTTAACTTTTATGAAAGACCACAAATTTCATTACATGATGCCATTAATTTGGTGGGGGAAAGGGATAGATAAATCATAAATGATAAACGATAATTTTATAAGCTTCCACCCATTTCTCAAAAAGAGAAAATTACATTTCTATTAGTTGATGGAAAATACTTCAATAATTCAATTAGACATTGACTTGTGAGTGTGACTAGTTAAAGTTTGAAAATATAATTTTTTATATAATTTTATAATTTGGCTCGAGTTTGGTTAGTCAAGACTCGAGATTGATAAACTGACCAAGTAGAGCACCCACAATGCATTGAGTCTAATTTTATATATGTGACATATAAATAGACTTAAGTCCTAAATGACATGGACAAACCCAAGTGAAAAAACTCAAAAGTTATTCAATGCAAAAATAAAATACTAGGTCTAGCATACATGTCAACTAATAAAAATGCGTTAATATGTTTCCTTTATTAAAAAAAAAATTAAATGAAGAATAAATGATGATTGTTTGGGTTTGTACTTGAGTCCAAAATAGACTCAAATGTGGATTTTGTCTTTTTTTTTTTTCATAAGCTAGATCATGTACATTTTTAATTGCATTGGGAGACATTTTTTAATAGACTAAGTTTATTTCCTATGTGGCATATGATATTTTATTAGAGCATCTACAATGCTTTGAGTTCAATCCCAAAAAATTACATGTCACATAAGAAATAGACCCAGTCCAAAAAAATATATTCTCCAATGCAAATAAAAGTAGACTAGGTCCTGCTGATGTGGCAGCCAGAAAAAGAGACCCGGTCTCCCCTTAAGTCCATTTTAGACCCAAGTGGAGACCTAGTCTCTTTGCATTGGAGTGAATTTTACTAATTTTACATAATTTTATCCACGTCCATGAGAGCTACGTCGATGAGAGCCATGTCGATCGACGTTACCATCAGGTTCACACAGAGTCTCCGCCTTCTATATTTTGAACTTTTTACCGTTTATAATTTTTTTCTCCCTCAAACACACAGTTCACACACTAATCTTCACTTGAAATACACTCATACGCCAGGAGTTAGCAGATCCTTCAAACTTCTTCAACATTGCCAAATGCTGCGATGTACGTGAATTCTGCTTTTGGATCTGCAAATGCACTTTGAAGTGATCGGTTGGAATTTGGGCATTGTCTGTTGTTCGATTGAAATTAGCCAAGCTAGGTCAGGTGAGTTTCTTATTATCTTATCGAGTTGTAATATGGATTGTGAAAGCTGAATCTCGGGCTGTTTATTGGTTAATAGCACCATTTCGCTTAATGGAGAAGGCATGAATTCTGGAACCTAGATTAAGAGAAACAGCTGATTTTGATGTTATGAGGTTTGGTTTTGTGTTTAATTGTGTGAATTCGTTGATTGTTTTGGTTTCACCTTTTAGTTTTCTTCGATATTATTCATCGTTTGTGCCTTGTCGCAATGTGTTGCGTGCTTCAATTGAGCTTTTGAAGCTATCTTCAGTTTGTTTGGCTTTCTAGTTGTGGCATTTTTCGATTTTCACTGGGTGAGGTGAATTAAGGAGGCCGTTGCTTGCTTAATATGTTGAACTGGTTTAAGCCTTTTCAATAGTGTGCAGAGTTTGTCGTTGAGAAGTATCTGTTCTTGTCTCTCTGAATGGAACCTATTGATTACTCGTTTCTGTTTGGAAAAGATACTTCTATGGTGCATCATGCATTGTCCGTTTTGCATGCTTCTTCTCATTGGGTATTAAAAGAGAACTATGAAAAAAGACGAAGTTTACGAACTTTTAAGTTAGATGGTTCCAATTTTAATTTTCTTTTCATATTTTTGTTTCATATTCTCTTGTTTGTTTTTAGGAAAATATTTTGGACCTTCAATTTTTGTAATTTGGAGTCTAATTAGCAACATCCTAACAGGTAGTATTGAGTTTGCAGCCCATCATAAAAGACAACTGTTGGCATTTTAAATTTGAGATTTTTGTTTCCCCGCACAATTGTAGGTTTAGTAAATGGAGTTTATTTCTGGACTAGTTTAAATTCTGAATTATAAGTATCAACAAAGAGTTTGAGTTCTTTCAAATGCACAGCTCAGTCACCAAAAAAGTATCGTTTTGCAATTTAATGTGTCCAACCTATAGTTAATGCACTGAATCGTGACAGTGCTTCAATTTTATAATTATGACAAAGAACCAACTTTCGGTTTCTTGAAGTTAGATCCCAAATAAAGTATGCAAATAAGCGGATGCTTCCTGTGCGCTCACAAATTGTTAGCAATTGCTTGCACATAGGCATTGTCCATTGCAAATGGAGCTGGAAGAGTCATTGTTGACAATTCTCCTGGCATAGTGCTAATAATGGACTAGATCAAAATGGCTCAGTTAAATTCTAGTGCTTCTTCTATTAGTGAAGTTTCTAGAAAAAAAAAATATATCAAACGGCGCAATGCACCTTGGGTCGCTACGGAAACAACCTCCTTGTATAATTACAAGGGTAAGGTCTGAGTACAACTGACCCCCCAGAATATACTGGGTATGTTGTTGTTGTTGTTGTTGTTGTTGTTGTTGTTGCTTGCACATAGGCATTTTATGGATCCTGACTCTTTGCTTTTCTGGCTGTCATTTTTCTTAGTCGTTGATTTCATCCTGGATTGGGACAACACCTACCTAATTATAGTTTAGCATATAATGAACTGGGGAAGACACCCTGAAGAACATTGCCAACGTGTTGGAATTGGCATATTCATATATTTGTCAAATAAATATGGAAAGTGACAGGACAAGCAATAAAACCCTGTCGGATGGTGACAGAGATGGTATACGAAGACCTCGACATTTACATGGGTAAGTTCTTGAAAACATAGAATTCCTATTCATCAAATATGCATGTCATTTTTTCTTTTATTTTTATGTCTGTAATGTGATACGGGCAACTTTTGAGAAGGTGAGCTCGTGTTTCTTATTTTAGTTCAACTGTATCTAATACTTGTAAAAAGTATTTTGAGCATGTGACGAGGATCTTTTACTTCATCTGTGTGTGTATATTTAGATTATTTTTTGCCCTAATTTGGAGTTGAAATTGTTTTTCGAAATCTGATACACTTCTAGTCATGTTATGTGACATGAATTATCATACTTTTCAAACAGGAGAACAAGTGGCCCGACACGGCGTTCCACAAAGGGACAATGGACAGAAGAAGAGGTTAGATTGAAACTCTTTCAACTGCTGTGTACATACTTCTTTAGTTAGCAACATATGTTTAAAAAACTTTGTTCTACGGCAGGAAGATGCATTAATTTTCTTATCGCTGAGCAATTTTTAACTTTTCATCTCAATGTTAACGACGATGGTTCTGAATAATTCACTTTCCTATTTTATTACAGGATGAGATATTGCGGTTGGCTGTTCAACAGTTCAAAGGAAAAAATTGGAAAAAAATAGGTAAGAGAAGGAACCGAGGCCCTTCGTTATTTATGCTGGTGAATAAGAACAGGTGTCAACTTTTTCTGGTTTCTTCTACCTTCTTAAAGCACATGTCTTATCTTCATTTCAAACTTGTCGTTTTCCTTAATTTATGGAGCTCCCAACAAGTATTTACTAATATGATTTTTTTTTTCCAAAGGTTAAAGTCATTTTTCTTAATATGTACTTTCATTTTTGTCAAAAAATTATTTTCTAAGAACGGATATACAGTAATTTGTTGTTAATTTGAAAGCTGATTGGTGTATGAAATTTTCACATGCCAACACATCTTTCTGTTGTAAGCCAGCCGCTGCTTAGTTATCTATACATTACATTATGGTTTACCTTAACCAGAATTGCAATTCCTAAAGTTTCTATTTTCTCGACTTAGTCGTTTGTTTAATTTTTGAAAATGTAGCGGAACGTTTCAAGGATCGAACAGATGTACAATGCTTACACAGGTGGCAGAAAGTTCTCAATCCAGATCTTGTTAAAGGTCCATGGTCGAAAGAGGTCAGGAGACTTTTCTTAATTTTGTCCGGGTTCTGTCGTTCTGGTGTCCATTCATTGTACATCAACCTCTTGTTCCATGTCTTTATACGATTATGAGATCTCGTCTAACGTGTATTTTTATTGTTAATAGGAGGATGAAATAATAATTGAAATGGTGAATAGATATGGGCCCAAAAAGTGGTCTACCATAGCACAACACCTTCATGGACGTATCGGAAAGCAATGCCGAGAAAGGTAATCTTTCTAGAGCTTCCATTTATATCTCTAGTTCAAAATTTTCCACTTCTTTAGAAAGGATGTACCAGTTTTCTTTAGCTTCATTCTGATCCTGTTGCTGGTTGTTCATCTCTTCTCTTTTAAGATGGTAATTTCATGTCTTGCACTAGCGTAAGTTGCGAAGTTCATTCTCTTTGTCATTCCATATCATGCGTCATGCTTATATGTCAATCAGGTGGCACAATCATCTGAATCCCAACATAAACAAAGAAGCCTGGACACAAGATGAGGAGTTGGCTTTGATTCGTGCCCATCAAATTCACGGGAACAAGTGGGCAGAGTTAACCAAGTTTTTACCGGGAAGGTAAGTTGAATTCAAATTTCCCATCTAATACTAGTATTTAGAGCTTTCACTCGTTTCTTATCTGTAATCACTTGTTTGATTTATCATTTACTATTATTATTATTATTATTATTATTATTATTTTTTGTTCAGAACGGACAATGCGATAAAAAATCATTGGAACAGTTCGGTCAAGAAGAAACTGGACATATATTTGTCTTCAGGATTGCTCTCTCAGTGCCAAGATCTTCCACTCGTCACATATCAGTCAACAGCTGCTGCTTCCTCCTCTCTAAAGGCTCCACAAAGCAGTGAAGATGATAGTGTCATGAAAGGCGGAGTGGAATTAGAGGAAGCATCCGAGTGCAGTCAATCTTCGGCTTTAGCCTCTATGTCTCGAGTTCGACCCACAAATAACACAGTTGCACTAGCAAATGCAACTGAAGAATTGAACCCATTTCCTAGTTCCGAAGATTACCGTCCCCAGTTTCAACAAGACGCGTCTGCCGTGCCAGAGACACTCTGCGAACAATTTCGGGAAAGCGGCCTCTCTCTGGATTGGGGGGCTTTCATGGGGAAAAACTGGCAATTTAATCCAAATGAACTACCAGACTTGTCACTGTTCGACCTGGTGCAAGATTCCGGAATGTTCTTGACGGCTTTGGGCAGCCACAATAACCTCGAAGCATTACCCCCACAAGAACCTTCCTTGCACCCGGAGCCTGGTCTTGTTAGAGACCCCGAGCAGGAACACCTGTTACTACATTCTGCCAAATTTCAGATAAATGAAGATGGGACTTTTGGGCCACAATCCCAATCGTTTTGTCTTCCACCCGATATACTGGACAGCTCATTCACTGAATCTGTCCCATTTCCAGATCAAATCCCTACTTCTGACGGGACACTCGTGTTCGGAAAATATTCACACGAAAATGCCGAGCAAGCTTGCAATCAGCCAAGTGACATACATGACGAATTAATCAACCCTACTAAAGATTCAGACAACTCTAACGAGATCAAAGAGCCGCCTAAACTCGTCCCTACCAACAATTTTGTCATGCCACTGGTGAATGATCCCGAGCGCAGTCCCTCTGGGGAGAAAAAAAACGAGCGCAAGGACTCGGGGACCCTATTTTACGAGCCACCCCGATTTCCGAGCCTGGATGTACCGTTCTTCAGCTGCGACCTCATGCCACCTGGCGGCGACATGCATCAGGAGGAGTACAGCCCGCTTGGCCTCCGTCACGTGATGGCATCCATGGCTACTCCTTTCAGGATGTGGGACCCGCAATCTAGGGATGAGAATAGTTTTAGTCCGGATGTTATCTTGAAGAGCGCTGCTCGGACTTTTACGGGCACACCCTCAATACTGAAGAAGAGGAACCGGGACTTGGTTTCCCCCCTGACGGAGAAGAGGGGAGAGAAGAAGCAGGAGCCGTTTTTTGACTCGTGCGGAAGTTTCTCCCGACTAGAGGTTATGTTTGATGAGTGTGTGGATAAAGAAAATGCAGGCCTTGGGGATTGTGGAAAGGAGGAGAATCAGGGGCATAACAGTGGCGGGGAGTGTTTGGACGAGAGAGATGGAAAGAGTGTAACCACCAGTGTCAGGACAACAGCTGGGGAAGATGATGCAGTGGAGAAGGTTAGTAGACGCTCGTTTTTTCTTTAGAAATGTCTAATTCTTACAAATGGGGATATACTTCTGAATTTAGAGTGTGTTGCATGATGATATTTGATAACAATGGAAAAGGAAACAACTAATGCACTCATGATGAAATTCTGAAATGATTTGATTTTTGTTTGTACCATGTGGCTATGCCGCCTATCATCATATAGTATTTTATTTTCACCTGAGACTGAACATTTGACTCAAGTATAAATCTGGTAAACATTCTGGACTGTTACAGGAGAATGGTTTTTCTGGAATCCTTGTCGAACACAATGTAAATGATATGGCGTTCTTTTCTCCGGATCACTCTAGAGTCAAGACAGATAGACCCATTGTTCTAAGTGCCCGAGCTCTCGGGAAACGATGTTCCCGGAGAGTGGACCCGGGTATTTCTGTCCTTTGTTCTCCTCGACTGTGTGCAAAGGACGGGACCAATTTGATCATAGCTACATCTCATCAATCCGTGAGTCCTAAGAAGAAAGTTGAAAGTTTGGACAGAGGTGTAACTTCTGAAAATAATAGTAGCATGTAAGAAGTTTGCAGCTTTAAAAAAAAAAAAAATCTTTTTCAATGTAGCAGCCAATTCGTGCAGTGGCAGTTTTAATATAGTACTCTCTTCCCCCAGTTCTTACTATTCTTACTATTATTATTATTTTTCCTTTGCAGATTCATAGATACACCATTCAAGAGGAGTATAGAATCTCCTTCAGCATGGAAGTCCCCCTGGTTTCTTAACACTTTTGTTCCAGGCCCCAGAGTCGATACCGATATTACAATCGAGGTTCGTGAAATCGTTTGGTTTAATAGCATTAAAAGTTGTGGAAACTATGCTAGAAATCAGGGCGATTTACAATAGACCTCCCACCTAACTTAGAAAAATATATATTTTGCACCTCATCGTATTCGTTTGAAATTTCTTAAGACTTTTTAAGACTTCAGAAATCCTATTGTATCTAATTAAGACTTTTAAAAGTCTCGAGGTATTCATTTGAGATTTTAAAAAGTCTTTCAATATCCCGAGGTATTAACTTATTCGAGACTAGGATTTGTTAAGACTTTTTAAGATTTGCTGGGATTTCAAGAGAAAAACCATATACGAAACCCCACTCCAAATCTTCTCACCTCCAGAGGTTTCATGGAATTCCTCTTAAATTCGAAAAATCTAAACAGTCTCAAATTTAAAAAACGTCACTCAAAATTCCAAACAACTACAACACCCCCTTAGTTGAGATGTGTAATAATAACACACAACACAACACTGGGGCAAATGTAAGATGGACGAAAACCTCAAGTGTGGTTGAGGTTCTCTAATTTTGAAAGTTTACTTATTCTTGTATTTTCTTTCTTTCATTCTCCGTTAAATACCCAAACTTCAAGGGGTAGTTTTTCTAATTATCCTAATTTGGTTCACACGCTTTCTGCGCGCATCAAATTTTTCATATCAAGGGTTTTTTTGCAGGACATTGGCTACATCTTGAGCCCGGAGGACAGAAGTTATGATGCCCTCGGGTTAATGAAGCAATTAGGCGAGCAGACTGCCAGAGCATTTGCCGATGCTCAGAATGTTTTGGGAGAAGAAACTCCCGAAACAATAATGAAGGGGAAATGCTTCGTGGACCGCCATGCAGACAAGGGGAACCATTGCAGCTCGAGTTCACTTACGGATCATCACATTTTGGCTTCAAATTTCACGGTACATTGGTTGTTATGAACTTCTGCACAATGCAAAAGTGAAGTTTCAATCGTTTTATCTTTACAGTAGAGATTTCAAGTCCTCTAAGTCAGTGACTTATTTTTGTATGTGAATTTTTTTTGGTAAATTTTCGTTTTAGCGTATATATGATGTATTTGCAGGAAAGGCGAACGCTAGACTTTAGTGAATGTGGTACGCCTCGAAAAGAAGCTTGGAAAGTGTCGAGTGGCATAAAATTCTCGAGTTCGTCTGCATATCTGTTGAAAGGTTGCAGGTAAATTATTGTATTTTTGGCTAGTTCATGTCTGTGTGCCGTTTGCTCTATTTTGTTTTTTCTTTCGAAATATTGTTATTTTTTCTTGTTTGTAATGTATGAATTTGAAATTTCATTTTATTGATTATATTAATTTATAGTTTCTACCGTTAAGGTCCATCCAGCAGTCTGTCTCATCATGCTTGTTCATTGTCCAGTGAGTCTTCCTCTTTTCTTTGGTTTAGAATAAACAATCAAATCAAGCATAAGCTCTCAGAAGATAAAACTTAATTTTAAAACAGAATCTCAACGTAACGTGTTATGGTTAAGACAATCTTATTGAAACACTTGTTGTCAAACAATCTTAGGCATAACTTTCCGATAGATATAAATAATATAAACACATATGATCATTATAATAATTTCAAAGTAAAACACCATACTAAACAAATAACGTTCTAACAATGAGAAATTTAAATAATTTCAAAATATTATATAATATTAAAAAAATAACATAAATAAAAAACATAATATTTTGTGGTATAAATATGCATTTTTCTTACAAAACTAAAAATAGTATCAAATCAACCCAATTGTTGGACATTTGTGTGCTTTGAATCCTTCAATCTCATTTTGTTCAAGCAAATTCAATTTATGCGAAACCCCAAAAAGGATTCAAAGAAAAATAGAAAGGTTCATAAGATCTCTAAATAGTAAATATGCTCACCAAAACATCTTTTATGAGGTCCCATTCATTAAAATATTCAGTCTCATAAATTATCGCTTACAAGACAAAATGGCACACTCTTATACAAGAGCATAATCGAGTAAACAAATCTCAGATACATAAATTTCACCTTCAGATGCCAGCATCAACACAAAAGCTAACGTGCCGAAAGATTTTAGGTCCTCAACATTTATTCATACATCACCTTGTGCAAAAGTCCACTGTTATGAAAACTGGTAAATAAAAAGATGATAGGTAATCAAAGTTACTCAGCAAGGAATTCAGGCAAATTTTGTGACTGCAGCATGAATAGCATCCGCAAGGTGTGGCACTGTCCTTGAACTCAGACCAGCCATGCTTATACGCCTGTGTCAAAATTACGAGACGACGAAAATCAGCAGTTTACTAAAGATGTATAGTATCAATTTGGAAATTGGATGGAATATATAGAAGTTAAGGAGTTAANATGAGCGGATTTTGAAATTGCTAAAGCTTTAGAGTTTTAGGATGAACAAGAGAGAGAAAGAAAGGAAGAAAGAAGAAAGAAAACGGCTATCTCAAATGTTTAGTTACCTCGCTCACATAAAGCATCAAATAGTTTCTGGCGCATTCTGATGATACGGTCAGCCATAGCCTTCAGTTCGATTGTCCATTCTTCAAACATTGCTCTGCGGGGATTGTCATGAATTTCCAACTAAGTTCGTAATTCGAACTAAGATCCAATTCTTCCAAAATCGTTTTCAATTAGGTTTTCATGCTGATAATATTGCTACTACCTTAACAAAAGCTTGAAAATAGTAAAACAGGTTGGACTCATATTCCAAAACTGCAAAATGTGGAGAAGTGGCCAATACCTGTCCTTGAGGATAGTAGCTACAATTGATGCCCCGTGAATTGGAGGGTTTGAATACATGGGGCGGATAACTAATTTCAGCTGACTCTCCACCCTACTCGCCACATCAGCAGTCCGGCAAACCTGAAAAATTGGGAAGAATTTGAGCACTTTGATGAACCTGCATAATATCACTGAAGCATGCATATAATACATAGGATCAAGATCAACTTAGTGGCAATGCTTTATAGTAAGTAGATTTTCAACCATGTACAAGGAAAATATATGTTGAAGAAAGGGGGAAAAAAGCTGCAACCCAGGTAGTTTTTTTCAGGAAAAAAGAGTTGAATCCCCAGTTTCTTTGATTTATCAACTGCGAGCCATAGCATAATATCTCTTTTACATGAACAGAGGAGAATGAGTGACACCTCAAAAAGTTTAGACAGTTCCTACACGTAGTGTTTACATTTTACCACATAGCAGTGAATGTCTAGTAATTACAGAATAAATTGCAAACTTACAATGCTCAGAGCGCCAACTCGCTCACCATAAAGCCCCAAATTTTTAGCATAACTTTGAGCTACAAAGCATTCACCTCCATCATTAACGAACATCCGAACTGACTGTGCATCTGCATCCAGGCTTCCACTAGCAAAACCCTATAGTTGAGAAAAGGAAAAATGAATTGACTTTGAAAACCCAATGAATACATCTTTGGTACACAATGACAGTCAATTACTCAGTTTCGAAAAAGTAAGCAAATGTTAGTTGTTCCATTTACCTGATAAGCGCTGTCAAAAAAGGGTAACAATGCCTTTGCTCTCATAAGCTGCCTTATCCGCTCCCACTGTTGAGGGGTTGGGTCAACACCAGTTGGGTTATGAGCACACGCATGAAGAAGCACAACTGCTCCTTCAGGAGCAGATCCAAGGTCCTCCAACAAACCTGTTATTTTATAAACACAAAACCACGACGAAAGAGAAATAAGGATGTTTGGACACCTTAACACAACATCAAGTAACCTTTTCCAGGTTATCCTTTGACAACACACATTTAGTTTAACTTCTCATAATGCTGATGCAAGATCGGATATACTATCAAACAGATAAGTATAATTGATACTCAATTTTGGCTATGAAATTTAAAACTATGTTAGAGACTTCTTATAATAAATCAGGAATGCTAATAATTGTCTGGCTAGCATTTGCAATATGGAAGAAAAAAAAAAAGACAAAAAAGAGAGAGGAGGGGAAAAAAATTGCCACTCTTGTTAATGGAAATCTATATATTTCAACTTTCAAGCTTATAAAAAAGTAATAATTGAACCTTCAAAATCTAGTCCGCGTGTAGCTGGATTGTAATAGCGGTAAGTCTTTACTTTCAATCCTGCCAAACCAAAGACTTTTAGGTGGTTTCCCCATGTTGGCAGCGGGATGTAGATGATATGCTGCAAACCCAAGGACAATAGTTCAGTAACTTAATATTTGTGTGTTGCTAAAAGAAAAAAGAGAGAGAGATTAATAGAACGATAGAAGAAAAAATTATAGAACTTACTTGGTGATAGTGACGAGCCAAAAACTCACCACCAACTCTTAAAGAGCCTGTACCCGACAAACACTGAACAGTTGTCACCCTGTTTTCTTGGATAGCAGGGCTATTTTCATGCAAGAAAAGAAAGAATATCATGTAAATCAAATCTGTTGGCAAAGGAAGTCACTAAAAAAAATACCGGATATAATTTTATAAATTATATTATAATTCAGAAATATATGAATCAGGAGAGACCAAAAGAAGAGGGTATGTTTGGTTTCTCTTCTCCACCAAGGTTAAAGCACATAACTGTTAAACTTCGATATATAAGAAACTGAGAAAAGATTTCACTATAGGAGCTTAAAAAACCTTAGTGATGCATTAAAAATTATTACCTGTCAGCACCAAGTATGAGCTTTGCACTCAATTTATTGAAATCTGCGAGTCCAACAATTGGAAGATACTCCTTCACACGAGAGCTGCACATGAATTAAACTCAGCTCTTTCAGATTCTAATTCAATAAATATTGATGCATAAACTAGTAATGAGAAGCTGCTAAACCTGTCATTCACTAGCATCTGCTCTGCTTTTCTCACAACATTCAAAACGAGAGGCTTTCCTTCCTGTTGTCCATATGTAATAAATAAAATCAAGCTAAAGATTGAAATTCGCATAAGAAGATAATGTAATAAAAGGCAAGCACAGAAGCAGCATAACCTCCGTTCGGTAAGCACCAACTCCCAAATTCAACTTCACTGGGCTTTGGTCTTTGTTATACGCAACCGTAACCTAATCTTCAAAAGCTTAGTCAAATCTCATTTATTTATTGAACTACTAAAAAAGCAAACCTTAATTTCATATAGAGGGAGAAGAAGCACAGAAGGATAAATCATATATAAGATCCAAATTCATTTCACAGATTCAAAAAAGACAAGGTGTCATACAAACAGAATATACAGCTGGTAATCATCTGAGCATGAAAATTTTATCAAAGAACAATTTCATTAAAAAGGTAAGAATCGTTCATGTCTGCATATTAACGACAGAGAAATGTTCGTAAAACATAATCACAAAAGCCTTTGGATAATCTCTTGAGTCTATTCATATGTTTTCCATTTGCACGCACCTACAAATTAAGTTAAACAAATGATACTCATTAATACAGAATCGTGACCAACTTTCTCAGTAGCTTGAAGGAGCTTTCTATCTTAGACTATTGTAATTCCAAGAGTGAGCTGAAAATAATAAAAGAAATCGAATACATACCACTCTAAACCGACCTAACACATTTACATCAAACAATTTTCACCGATCAAAAAATCAATCAGAAACTTCGTAAAGCAGGATCAATGTTACACTATCTACAAACTACCAGTCCACACGCCACAAAACAGAACCAACTGCACTCAGAATCAAAGGCAATTCAGGTTAACCTTCGATTACTTCGGATAACGAAAAGAATTAATAAAAAAAAAGACAATCGAATTAATCTATGAGCAAAATCCATATCCACCTTCTAATCTCAGCTCGTTCTCATAATTGTACTTCATAATCCTTAATCCTTACGACAGCTAGAAGAAACTCTACAAAGTACAAACACAAAACACACACAGTGAGAGAGAGAGAGCGAGTTACGCCGAGTATGGGATCTTCGGGCGCCCGAGCAACATGCTCAAACACAGAGATCCGAGCTCCGGCGGAGCCCGACGTTGGAGCGGCGGCGATCGGGTGGTTCTGGTGGTCCATGTCGGCGATTGGTGATCCTTCGAGGTGTCGAACAAGAGCGCTTAGCCTGCGATCAACTGGAGAAGACAGTGGCTGTGAAATGGGCATTTTAGCTGAGTTCTCTCACTTTTTGATACAGCGTGCGGGTGCAAACCGTTTGCTAGCGTTTGCCGGTTTTTTTTCTCTTGAGAACGGACTTCGGTGCGGTGGGGTTCATATTAAGAAAGGGGATAGTGCTGACGTGGCGAGACGTGGCGACACGCGGGGCCATCTGAGCTGTTCCTTTCATGGGAAATGGTAATGATGGCACGAGAAAAGAGGAGGCTTATCCGGTTAACGTGTGGGCGAATGTAGGATAGGATATGCTTGGCACGCAGATTTAGAACAGTTTATTATTATAAATTATTGAAAGTCGTCGTATTCTTTTTGTTCAAGAAACCTTTTGAAATACTGGTATGATGGCAAGAAACAACAGGCATCTTTTAGTTCAAGAAACCTTTTGAAATACTGGTATGATGGCAAGAAACAACAGGCATCTTATTATTGAGATGTATATATTTTTTACCTAATTCTTATTTATTCCTTGGTTAAATTGTAATACAACAATTTTTAAATAAAAAAATTAATATACTGCAAAACATGATTTAATATTGTCTAATGTAATTATTGTAGTTTTATTTGATCAATCAAATTTTGAAAATTATATCTTTTTTTTCATTTCTTTCACAAATTCAAGAAACACTTTTCATCAATTAATAAAGTGCTCATAAAGTATTCATTTTTTTTATTTGTCTGTCGTGTAGATCAATTTGTCAGATTTTGATCCAAAATGCCAAACAAAAAAACAAGAAAACCAAAATTGTGAAGTACTCAAACTAATGCAACGCAAAAATACCAAATCAAACCCGAACCGAATTAGTTCGGCTTGGTTATTCGGTCTTTTTAAACATTTGGGTTCCGTTTGTTCAGAATCACACCCAGCCACAAAAAACCGCAAACCAATCTTGTAGACAAAATAACCAAACCACACAACATAAAAAAAAAAACCGAAACAAAAATATTTTCCTAAAATAACCAAACCGACCACCACCCAAACATGGACAAAATAACCAAACTACACAATGAATAAAAACCGAAACAAAAAAATTCTACATTAGAATGACCCGAACCGAAGCAAATTGCACAGTTTGGCTCAATTTTGCTCACCACCACCTTTAATTTATTAAATTCACAATTCATAACGTGATGCACTGGTCACGTGTTTTCATTCCTATCGGATATTATTTATATACCCTTAATTATGCCAAAAAACGAAAGAAAGAATTACTCTCATCGCATAGTTTCAATAATTAACTCATTCAGCGTACTAACAAAATAAAGCATGGCAAGTCTCAATCGACCCATCGTTGCCCAAGTATATTTCATATGGGAGAAAACCTTAGTCAATACAAATCAAGACACCTAAATCTGCTCCAGTTTTGTTCTTTCTAAT